ACCTTTATAGACAAAGCTAAAATTTCCATGCACTCTTAGTTGTTTTTTATTTTTTACATTGTACAGTATACCCAACCATTGCTTGTCTTGAAGGCTTGGCATATAGAGTAGAAAAAGAAAATTATGGACAACAGTGGCTGTGTGCATCAGATAGGTGCTTTTGACACATTGATTATTTTGTCTACCATACTGTCTTGTCTTATAGTTTAGATGGTTGCACTCAAGTTATTTGGATGTTTCTTCTATTGCTCCTGTTTCAAAATGTCAAACTGACATGATGCTGAGGAAAGAAAGAAAAAAAGAAAAATAAAGACAAGGAGAAGAGGAAGAGGAAGGAGGAGGAGGAGGGGGGGAAGGGAGGGAAGGAAGGAAGGAAGGAAGGAAGGAAGGAAGGAAGGAAGGAAAGCTATTTTTTCCTTTAAAAAATCCTCACAGAAGGGAATGAGCTTTTAAATTGAAAGCTCTTTTTATTTTGATCTGTTGGAGTTTCTCCCCCACCTTTTGACTGAGTTTATACAATGCAGAACAATCTGTGTACAATAATTTCACCCTCATACCAGTAAAAAGGATTTCTCTACATCCTGCCAACATCTGAGATATTTCCGACAAGACCCTGGGGCAAGATTTTGGATTTCCTTCCAAGAGAGCTTACTTAACTTCCTCTCTATTGATTTTCCATTGGCAAGTGGTCTTCCAAGACAAAATATTTCCCACTATGTGGACAATTTTTAAATTTCTTCTGCTTTGGTTTTCATTGTCCTTGCATTTTTATATCTGTCTGCTTTTATATGGCGTGGGTTTCATACCACATTATGTACTATTGCTGACAGTGGGTGGGCAACTAATTTAGCTGCCTGCTAGTGCAGCTTCCTTTGAAAATCTGCTATGTTTCATTTTTTGTTTGCCAATTCTAAATTAGCAGAGGATTCAAGGAAGAGCAATTGGGCAGAAAAGCTTTCCCATCATTTTCTGCTTTTGTTACTAGTCCAGGTAATCTTCTGTTAGTTTAATACGCTACTGAACCTCATTTCCTTTGGGGTTTACTTTTCAGGTAAAAGGAAAAATTGATCAAATGGCTTAAAAAAAATCATTTGCTGTAAAGCCTATTTTCCTAATAAAACAAAGTCTCTAATCCGGAGTTTGGATATAATTTTTATCAAGGCTGTATACTGTAAAAAGTTACACAGAGCAAACAGATAATTAAAAGGAACTCTACATGCATTATGCAAACTTGGTTCAGGCAGTTTTTGCTTTAACATTAACTTTCAGGATTTAAAGGTAAAGATTGTAAAACTTGCCAGTTTCCCTGAGAAATGGAATGGCATTTCGTCATTACTTTTCTTTGGCTAATTACAGTATGTGCATTGCTGCCATCTTCTGTTGAGAGAGTGAGACAGGAGGGGGAGAAAAAAAGGAAGGAAGAAAAGAAAAGATTAAAAGGAAGAGGAAGGAAGGAAGGAAGGAAGGAAGGAAGGAAGGAAGGAAGGAAGGAAGGAATTTTGCTATAGAAAAAAAATATTCTGGAAGAATATGGAAGCAAACCAATGTTTCTCAACCTTGGCAACTTGAATTTGTGTGAACTTCATCTCCCAGAACAACCTAGCGTGCAGGGTTAGCTGGGGTGTTCTGGGAGTTGAAGTCCACATATTTTAAAGCAGCTAAATCTGAGAGATACTGGAAGCAAACCATTATCAATATCCAGGAAGCATACCACTTTCATTCTCATGAGGATTTATATAAATAAGGGAGCCTTCATATTTATTTAATCCACAAACTAAATTTGTATGCAATAAATTAGCAGAAGCTCTTTTTCTTAAAAACAAACCATAATCATACAATTTGTATAAATCCATTTGAATTTACGAGTCAGCAAATAATGTAAAATCACCGTTTATAATACCGCTGTATTTTAAGGAGAGGGGGAAAAATCACTATTAGCAGAAAACATTAGATATTAATTCAGTGCATCAAATTTCATCACCTTAAATTTGGAAATAAATGCAAAGAAGAGTTCAAAAGGCTTGAACTAAAATAGTAAATCCTGTTTAAATGTATCCCTTTTGTGACTGATTTAGTATTTATACTGCTCATCTATGCAGGATGAAATCGGGAGAACTAATGCATTTTTTCCACATTCCAGCTTTGAAACAGACTTCTATGTGGGGCTTTTTTTATTTATCCACTCATGACTCATAGTTCAAATGGATAATAGACAAGCTAGGAAATTTATTTTACAACAACATTGCCTTAGGTTTTGTGATAGTGGACTACATTATTGACCACTTCTTTTTTAAATAGTAATTTTATTAAAAATTACAATTGCAATTTTAAAAATCAATATACGGGGGGAAAAGAAAAAAATAGAAGGTGCAGAAAAAAGTAAAAAAAAAATAGGAATGTAATAAAGATAAAGAAAAGGAATATTTAAAGAAACGATTTTCCTCTTCATCAGAACAAGTATAAACAATTTTTCTAAATTTTAGTAAATTCTTAACATGCAACAGATGATCTCTTCTTCCCATATCCCATCTCTTCTCTATAAATAAATCCTAAAAGTCTTGTTATTTCAATCCTGACATCAGGAAAAGTTCATTAAGAGTTACCAAAGATGATAACATATTTATTTTAACTTTGATCAAATTAACCAACATTGTATTCCTTCCTTTTACTTTAACAACCCTGATCTTTGGTCATTTCATATAATATCCTAGAACAGAGATGGCTAACCTTTTTGCCATAGCATGCCAGAAGAGGGGGGGCGGGGGAGGGTCGTGCGCGCACGTGCCCATGCACATGTGTGCGCAACCCCCTCCCCCCGCTCCTGGCACATGATGGCCCGGTAGGCCGGTTTTTCTTTCTTACCTGGTTCCAGATCCTCTCTGTGTATCTGGGAACGGCGAAAACAGCCTTTCCCACTCCCTTGGAGGCCCTACGGAGGCTGAAAAGGCCCATTTCCCAACTCCCGGTGGGACAGGAAGTGACATTTTTTGCTGTCCCCAGCCTCCAGAACCTCTCTAGGAGTCTGTAGGAGCCTCTCTAGGAGTCTCTGGAGGCTGGGGACAGGAAAAAACGTCACTTCCTGTCCCACCGGGTGTGGGGAAATGGGCCCTTTGAGCCTCCGTAGGGCCTCCAAGGGAGTGGGAAAGGCTGTTTTCACCATTCCCAGATACACAGAGAGGATCTGGAGCCAGGTAAGAAAGAAAAACGGGCCTTACCCACCCCCCCAGGCCCTCCAGAGGCAGGAAACAGCCTGTTTCCCTACTTCTGGTGGGCCCAGAAGGCCCGAAAATCAGCTGGCCGGCGCACACATGTGCTCCAGAGCTGAGCTGGCGTGCCCACTAATATGGCTCCGCGTGCCACCTGTGGCACACGTGCCATAGGTTCGCCATCACGGTCCTAGAATTTGATTTCTTTCCATTTTTTTTCTTTGTCCCTTTTCACAAAAACTCTTCAATGCTTTAACAAGGTTCTTTTTTAAAATTAATATAGGAAAAATTATCCAGGTCACTCTCTTGGTAACACATCAGCCAATTTCTTGTGTATGTCTACTGTAGAATCTTTTTCCATATCATTTTTTAAGCCACTTTTTAAAACCACTCTCAATTCTTCTCAGGTAAGACTTGTACCTCTTCCATAACATGTTTTGAACACAATCTATCTATAGAGACAGACACTTTTAAAATTGATTTCTGACTACCTTTAACAAAGAAAACTGAGAGCTTCGCCAGTGTTAGTTTTCATTCCCCATAAGGTAGCCACTTGCGGAATTATGCCACATAGCTCAGCAACAGACCAGTCTGTCTTCTTTCTCTATCCCAACTTCCAGAATTTTAAAGATCTTTGAAAGAAAAGTGAGCAATCATGGGGGGAGACCCAGTGTTGAACCCAGTGGAGTGGCAAAGCAAGCCCAGTATCTGTGGGGACCACTGGGTCAGGACGAGGGGGGAAATAGGCAAGGTGAGTGCTTTAGCATCTCTGTGGTTGGTGTAAGAGCAAATGACCACAAAGGTTTTTTCAGTGAATGTAACTTTTGGACTGGGTTGTAATACCCTTTGGAGTGGGGGTTGTTGTAACTTTAGTTGCTAAGGGACCAGTCATAAATTGAGGATTACTGGTACAAATAAAAGTAGATAACTTCACAGTTTATATTAAAAACAATATCTGTTGTACAGTCCCACCAAACAAAATTACTAAAGCTGGATACTGACAGTGGATACAATTAAATCTGCATTTCTATTCAAAGGGAAGATTTTGTCAGAGAAAGGCATTAAGCAGAGGTAAAAATAACTGGGAATGAAATAAATCATCTTAAAGGAAAAAAAACTTTATGTTTTTTTTTGGCCCAACATGTTTCAAAGGGAGGCAGGGGTCAAGGTACTTTTTATGCATGTCCAAAACTCTTTCACTTGTCAGAAGAAAACTGAAAACTCATTTGTAAATATAAGTCTGAATTATGAATGAACGTGTATTATATGCGTGCATGCAGTATATCTCATAGGCAGTATTGTGACCAAATAAAGTAATATACACCTTGTTGCTCAGTTACAAATTATTCATATTACAATCTCTTCATTTTTATGATTACAGTGACATAAATTTGCAGCTGTAGTAGTCATCTACAGCTCAATGCTTTAATAGCACAAACTGTTATTTAAAATATATTTTTGGCCTTATTTTGTACAGCATCTGGAGAGAAAAGGACTTCATGTTTTAATCAATTTAATCCAAGGGTAAAAATCGAGTTTGTCTCCCCCCCAGCCCTGAGATTAGGGATTGCAGCACCACCAATCTTCAACCATAAACCAAAGGATTGTAGGGAGTTGTAGTGCCAAACTAAGAGAGGCTATAAACTTTGCTAATTTTGATTGTATTTGAATAAGCATATCTCCCTTTCCCTCCCACTCTCTCTCTCTCCCTCCCTCCCGCTCTCTCTCACTCTCACTCTCTCTGTTTCTCCCCCTCCCTCCCTCTCTCCCTCTTTTTCTGGCATTTTTTGTTAGGCCTTTGATTGACTCCGCATGAGATGAAAAACAGAAGACATTGTTTCCCATAATCATCTAAAATTATTTCAAATTTCTCTAGCACCAAATGGCCCAGTAAATCAGAAGTAGATTTGATGTGAGCAATGTTTTTGTTTATTTTGGTGGTATGTATAATGCTCTTTCTTCCCATTTTTCCTGACAAACGTCACCTTGTTGGGGCCCACATCCCAGGTCTGACATTGCTTCCTCTGTCTTTCTTCCTCCCCATGCAGAGGTTTAGAAAGGGAAAGAATAACTAGAAATCTGAAATTTTTGGCTTCAGTGAGCCTCTGAAATGAACTCAAGAGATACATTGAAATAGCTCCTGGTCTGCCTGTAACTCTAAACTCCTACTTGCTCATCCATGCATAGACTTCTTAGCAAAATCGAACTATATATATCCCAACCATTTGCATGCCAATTCTCCTTTATTTATTTATTAATTAAAATAATTATGCCATCCCTTTCCCTTATAAGGTGACTCTTATGAGAAATTCAAACCCTCTGGCAAAAAAAATCATCACATTGTGGATTTCTGCATTCCTTCTTCCCATCTAGCTCCAATATAGCTTTGACCAGGGGTGAAATCCAGCAGGTTCTGACAGGTTCTAGAGAATCGGTAGTGGAAATTTGGAGCAGTTCGGAGAACCGGTACATACCACCTCTGGCTGGCCCCAGAATGGGGTGGGAATGGAGATTTTTGCAATATCCTTCCCCCAGGAATGGGGAGGGAATCGGGATTTTGCAGTATCCCTCCCCTGCCACACCCACCAAGCCACACCACCAAGCCATGCCCACAGAACTGGTAGTAAAAAAAATTGGATTTCATTATTGGCTTTGACAGAGGAATATAGAATTTATACTTGTGTAGGCTTTTGTGGCTGACATCAATGAAGCAATGGTGGGCTTTCAGGCTGAATGGCCATGGTCTAATTTTCTTTTCTTCTGACATTTTGTCAGCAGCCAGTTGGATTATCTGCAGCAGCCTCATCAGAAAGAACATCTAGCAGTATCTTGACTCAAAACAATGGATCAGAAACCAGCTGTCTTGGAATTCTCCAAAATAAACCAATCAGAACTCCATCTAGAACAACGAACCAATCAGCAGCTTGGCTCATAGACAGACCAATCAAGAACTAATACTCTTGGAATTTCTTCAAAAGGGACCAAATGGGACCAATCAGGAATTAGCTTCTTTGGATTGCCATGACATTGATTGATTGGAGATGAGCTTACTAGGTTCAAATACAAGAACCCAGGCAGCCTGCAGGCTTCCAGGAAATACATCACAAAGCAGTTCATTTGGCCTCTGAAGATGCCAGTTGCAACTGCTGGCAAAACATTGGAACAAAAGAAAATTAAGACCATGGTCATTCAGTCCCAAAACTCATCACTGCTTCAAACTAAAATGTAATTCTACTGTATCACATTCTTGGCTATGTGAATCATTTGCTTTAGTCAACCGCTTTAAAAAGCAGCAACAAATTTTAACTTGTTTTGCTGGGCTTGTCTAACAATGTACAGTATATTTTAAACCATGATATCTGGTTCTGATATGGCAATAAAACTAGAAGAGGAAAGTATTTGAGTTCAGCACTCACATAAAGATTCTTCCTGTTCATAGAAGCAGCATTAAATTATTCCTTACTGTAACTGTCCCAAGTTAAAACATTTTTGGGCCACCAAGACCAGAATTTTCAATGCTGACTAGAAATTCTGAGAATTGTGCTTTCCACATGTTTAGGGGGCATCCAGATGGAGAAGTCTGATCATCTGTAAGCACTGTATGAAATTTTAGTTAGATAAGGGAATATTTATTATATTTCTAGAAGAGAAAAGCAAAATGAAGACATGACACACTGAGACACACATTAAGCCAGTATGCATTGTTCAGTTTTGTGCGAACCCAGACTCTGAGATCTATAAACTATAATTTATGAGTTAACACAGTGCATAAACCCACTGACTTCAACAAAAGTTAGTAAGCACGCCACGACTTAAAATGACAAGTTGCTATCTCAACTACAACCAGAACAAAAATAACATTGTATCAAAAGATTTTCATTAAAAATAGTGTCATAATAGAAAAACAATAAATTTCAGCCGTATCTCCACAACTAGTACCAGTGAAAAAGATGACAGCTATCAACAAAATATGACAAACTGCAATTAGTATTCAGAAGACAACAATAGAAAGACATTAAAAAACCCTGTCTTCTGCTCTGTAGACCTGCCCAGTCAAATGAAATTTAAGCAAAGTATGAAAATTAATAGAAACTGATTAGTACATTCCCTGTCATTCACAGGGCAGCTAATGCTACCAACTACGGTAGAACAGACCAACATGAAGAGTTGAGCAATGATCCGTGCATATCAATGAGTCCTATAATTTTCATTGAAATTGAGTGCCTTTTTTCACTCTTTATAGATTCAGATCAACAGATCAATTGCATTTGCTTGAGCTTCACCTTGATAAATGCAGTTAATTTATCTATTACTAAAAAATAAATAACTCTTTGGAGTTTAATTGAGTACTTTCAAGGAAATTGAACCCCAAAATGCAGCCTTTAAATTTGAAGAATCCTACTAGTAAAGCAGGATTGATTTCTCTCCTTGAAATAATTTGTTTCTGTATTGGCAAAATAATTAGAAACCAATCTCCAGATGAGAAAGGGGGAAAAAACCTAGTTAGTTGCATAACTAGAATCCTGCAAATGATTGGTTTTCTGGATTTATGCTATCTCTTCCGTCCCATATAATGGAAAGTGCACACAATGTATTCTGGTAAAGCATTTCACACCTCATTTTCCAATTCAGTAAAATATCATACAGCCAAGTCTACTTAACAAAGCTTATGATTCTTTCAGGTTTTATACTGAGGCTGCCCAACACCATTATAAGTTATTAATGAAAACCATCATGAATATTTATAGATTTCGGCCCAAACAATGCAAAAAGCATACGAACCAATCCCCCACAGTGTCACATCTTGACCTCTATATCTCATTTTTTCTCTTAACATATTCTCCAACCCCAACAAGTATTTTGGAAAGTATTTCAGGGCTAGCACAAAATTAATAGTTCAGCACCTATCTTTTCCAAGCCAAACTTTTCAGAAAGGTCACGGCAAAGCTTCCCTAGAAATATTGGCAGAATAGCCTGCAAAGAAGAAATCTTAAGTGAGCCTTTTTCTCTGGGCTGCCAAAGGAAGCTGTTTTTCAATTATTGCCTTTGTGATGTTCCCAGAGCTTTGAAAAAAAACCTCTGGATCAATGGAAAGAAAAGGAGGAGGGGAAAAATATGGTAGCTGCCATATCTCTGCTTCCCATGTCCTAATAATCTCAAATTAGTAATGGTGGCAGATATCTGTAGCTCAGCTGTAAGATGAGGGTGGAGGTTCATTCTCCAAGTTTGTGGGTTGGTTGAAGCTTCTTGGATGAGATCTTCAAAGAAAAACCAGAAAGTCCAGAAAAACCAGAAATATGCTCTTGAAAAAGCATATTTGGGACAACCATAATCTGGATGACTGAGAATCTCCATAGACATTTGGTTTCTGAATGTTTCATTACAGGCTAGGTAAATCTTCAGCAGAGTTTAGGGAGTGTCACTGTTCTTCTGTTTATAAGGGTGTGATAAGGGTGTACAGACCTTATAAACAGAGGAACACTGACAAAGATATCCCTTAAACTACAATGAAGATGGTACCTAACATGGTGTAGGAAGTTAGCGCCCACCTCTCTCCTAGAAGAATGAAATATTTTAGGAAATATTAAAAAGGTAGAATGTTATATTTCCCTGAATGAGAAAAGGAGAAACATATTTTTAAAGACAAAGAGCAGTTCCCTGCAGCTCCCTCCTCCCAGAAGATATTTGGTGCACATCAAGACTGGCCTAGCCTATCTACCAAACAATTATAACTTCAGCTCCAGGGTGATGGGATTAAAACATGACCCTCAGGACATAATAGGATTAGCCCTCTACCCATCTAGCAGCAGGGCTCACGGCATTGCGAAATCACCTGGGGACATTACATCAGCCAGCAAGGTTCAACCAACCTTAATTCAGACAACATGAGCTGTGACCCTTGCATAGCCCTCTGGGAGTCTGACAGCCAATTGCCACAGGAAATTGCCCTTGCCACAGGAACAGGAAGCTCAAGTTCAAAGCCCAAGAGAGGGTATAAATAACCTCTCACTCTCCACTCCATGTGGTCAGCTACCCAGAATCACACATGCTTGGTGGTTCTGCTTCACCAGTAAACCATCTTTCCATCAGCCTCCATGTTTCCAGTGTCTTTCTCCCCACTTGGAACTGAACCCAGATGGACATTTCTTCCAACAATGGTAATGAAACATTTGGGAACCAATCCGCAACTTTGCAGAACGAACCTCCACCCTCAATCCCAAATTACCCAATTAGTGGAATTTGCCCTATGATTTCATAGAACCAGTATAGATTCTTTGCATTCCTGACATTTTCTACTTAGTACTTTGTCTGAGGAAAGTTTGCCTTTTGGGAGTTTATCTTTAGATTCCCCACAATCTCTATCAATCTTTCTGCAAATTACAGATGTGAGCCAGCCCAGCTGTGTGGCAATGGTTCACTACGCCATTGCATCAGGCAGCTCCAATCACACAAGATGTGTTGTAAATTTAATTTGATATTCTAGAAATGAGGCCAACTATGTTGAGACAATTCCCAATTTACTTCTGGTGCATAGCATCTGTAGTGTTTATTCTCGTGCTGTGTCAGAAGTGATACACTGATTATCAGGTTTTGATGTGGGTTTAATTCTGGGCAAACAGTTCTGAGCACAAACGTTTTATATCCCAATGGCACAAGCTTTATTTATTCTCATGTGAGGTTATCTGTGAAAAATATTCAGAAACTGCAGCTCAAAATGGAAGTTTTTTTCCCCCCATTATAGGCTTTATATTAACTTGTTTATATATGCTTCTAATTCCAATTTGAAGGGTTGGTTCCTAATAATAAATCCCTAAATGCTTTAGAGTCAAGATAGACTCTATGTGTCTCATGTGAACCTACCTCAAAGTGTCTACTTATCCTCTTTGAAAATCTACTTTCTGTTGTAGATTA